CAAAGGGTCAAATGATATTTTTTCATTCATTACAGAAATGTCCACTTTAAATTTGATTCCCAACAGTATGTGTAGGTTCAGTACAGATTGTAATGGTAATGGTATTTGTCTGGATGATGGGCACTGTGGCTGTAATGTTGGTTATCATGGTGACCGTTGCCAATTTGGAAATGGTAAGATTGAAGTAAATCATGTAAAGTTGAGATGTCAATTCTGTACATATCAAAATTGTGATATCTACATGATAGAAATAAATGAGATGTAGTGTTCAGTCAGTAAGCTTTGAGTGTTTAAATATTGAAATATAGATTCATGTATTCAGTCAATGAGCCATTGATGTTCATACATACCATAAATTCTGATAAATATCCAGGCAGTAAATTAAAAACACATATACCTACTGTATTTGTTTGATACACAATCTTTTCAAAACCTTGCCCATTCGCGATGCTTCATCAAGTGGGCAATTTTTTGGTTGCAAAGAATGATGTCAAATTATTTATAAGTCACACAAAATGTCTAGTGTAGATCATAGTTGCAGGTATTCTAATTTAACATTCATTTTTATAAACAATCCAATTTATGTTTTTCGTATTCGTTGACACATCATATATAAACACCTAGTATACATATCCAGTCAGTAAAGTTCAGAACACACATATCATATACAAGCAACCTTGTGGTCGAAAGAGCTACGCTGTAATTGTTATTACTGTGAGTTGGCAATGTAGGGTGGAGTGTTGTTGTTGGCACCATAAAAGAAACTGGTCACTGCATTATTACCAGTTTGAAGAAATGGAGATTGTGGAGTATGATACAGTACATGTATACACAGTCTGGAAAAGATTTATAAAACTCAAAATAGAATAGAGATTGACCTTGACCTCAACTTCAACATGGTTGTCTAATAACAGCAAACACACATATCATATGGTATATAAACACCTATACAAGTTTGAGAAAGATTTTTCTCTCGCTCATCTACAAATAATTTTAATATTATAGGACTTGAAGAAGACAATGACAACAAAAGCACTGCAATGTCACACCATCCAAGTGAATATGTTGTTTATTTTGTTGGCTGTATTATTGTTGTTGTGATACTCGCTGTTGTACTGGTTGTGCGGGCTTCCATCAGGCGGCAACGAATGAGATGCCAAAATCAAACTGTTGCAACACTAGGTATGTCTCTGTAGTTACCAACAGAAATGACCATTTTGGCCAAACTTTTGCCATTACACTTCATGCTTACACGTAAAGCATCAATATTACTTTTCTGTTTAATCGTTTTAAATATGAGTAACTTCAATAATAATTTGTTTTCTGCCTTGACTGATTAATGGTCCAGTGTTAGATACAGTATGTGTATTCTTCCGTAAATAGTTTATTGGTTCATTCCAATCCAAGTTGGCCTCTTGGCAGCCATTTCTGGAAGATTTAAATTTAGAACACTGATTTGCAGGGATCTTCCAATGAAAATGTTGAGTCATTTCAAATTTTGCACTACTGAGAATTTTACTACACATTTGTGCAATGTTTTATGAGGAAGAACTTTGCATTATATATAATGGAAATCTATTATCGTACTGGAAACTCCCTCATTCTGTATAATTGCTATAGGTGATAAATAATAATAATAATATTTATTAAGCCTTTGGAACGGCAACAAGAGCAAACAAGTACTGTATCTGAAATTTATCAAGAACATAGCTTAAATCTGCACATCCTAAATCCTCTAATACAGCAGTGCCTGCAACATTTCTATTGACTTTTGAAAAGAAATTTGCCAAATTGGTATTGGTTCTTTAACCATACACCACACCCATAGCTAATAGATGCTCAGATATATATACATTGTACTATGCGTGCCATGCTCGGTAGTATTGACATAGACACCGTCAAAGTTTACCAAACACCGGATATTCTGCACACATTGTGCTTCGTTATTTTTGTCGCGTTCGACTTCATAGTACGTGTTATACGTGTTCTTAACTATCATCCTCAGATTCGCTAAATTCTTCTGTAAATGTAATTTTTGATTTTTCAGTGTGGTCATGGAGGTAGTAAGAATTACCTACATGTATGTCTCGCGATTTATCACGATAGTTGATTAAAATATGAATAGATCTCACGTTATTTTGTGATAATCTTGTTGCTCTGCAATGTTTACTCGGTACAATAAGAACTGATAACCTAAACAAACGTGGCACGCATTACTTCAAAAGAAAACGCCGCGTTGCTAGTCTGTTGTATTACTAGTCTGAGATAGCTGGCATTATTTTACTATGCCACAATACATCACCATATTCAAACCAATTATGTTGATTTATAATTGATTTACAATACACTATTAGTTTAATCCTTTCTTATACATTTCAGTGAACTGTGAATGGTCTTTAAAATTTTTAGAAATAATAACGCCTAAATATTTATATGTGTTAGTTTCTTCTAATAAAAAATTTCCAAAGTGTGTATGTGTGTCCCACTGTTCCACTGCTATCTCAAGAACCATACATCAGTTTTTGATGAAACTTGGTGCATAGATGATTTGGGCCAATGCGCAGATTTGATTAGGTTTTGGTAAAAATCTATGCTCGTTAATTACCTAATTTGCATGATAATTAGCTATTTTTTAGCTGTTTTACGACTGTTCCAGTGATATCAAAAGAACCACTCATTGGATTTTGATGAAACTTGATACATAGATGCTCTGAACATATGCGCAGATTTGATTAGTTTTTGGTAAAAATCCGTGAATATCAATTA